CTCAAACTCAAATATCCTAAACCATATTCAGTGTTTTCTTTTTTTCCAACAATCAAAATCCTCTATTTGGTTTTCTTTCTTTAAGCAGATCATATTGTGATGAAGATTTCAAACATGGTTTTCAAATTCTAAAACAAAGAGATATCATTTTCTTGTAGTTAAGCCATTATTGTTTCTTTATATAGTTCTTACTATTACTAATTATTTTTTATTACTAATTGTTATTAGCAATTTTATTGAGATATTTTGAGCCAAGTTTAAAAACCATTCCTATGACAACTATACAGTTATAAGCAAATTATTTGCTTCTAAGTTTTATTCATATTCTATTGTGAAAGGAAGCTGCTATTTCTCTATATTTCTGCAGGTTTTTTATTGTAGCCAGCTTAGTAGTTGTTGCTAGTAGACTATGAATGTAAACCATAAATCAGAATTTCTTCACTGAATTTGACTATCACCACTCCTTAAAGCATACTATATACCCACTATCATTTCCTTGGTGTCTCACTTCTGCCCAGTGAACAAGTATCTTAACAAGATACAGCACAAGTACAAAGCCTTCTACATAGCTCCCCTACCTCACCTTTCTAAAACATTGCTGTTTGTGTTTTTCTTTTGTTATTTGTCCTTTGTATTTTCTTCCCTTTTGTACTTTAAGTTCCATGATGGGAAAGGTGGTAGCTCCCAATCAGCCAGATTGTACCTAGCACAAAAATTTGTGCACAGAATTTGGTAATCTGGTTGAATTGTTTAACATTACACATTAAATACATATTTGTTAATTGACTTGCCTCAGTACATGACTATAGTTAAGGGACGAAAACATATGTAGCATAGGAAATATTTTGCAAGCTGTTTTCTGAATCTGAAGGGCAAATTGCCTGAGGCACTAACCAGAGAACTGGGCCATGATCCTTCTACACTTGGGAAATGCATGATTATTTATAGACATAAAGGTAAGGAGCATATATTATGTGTAGCATAATTTTAAAAAATTATATAGAATCTTATTACTGTACCTGCATATAAGAAATCTTTGTGGTAAAAGTTTACTCTTTGAAGTACATTTTTCTTTAGTATCTTACATAAGAAAATAAAGCCAACATTAAAAAGGATTTTTTTCCCATGCTCCAAAACATACCAAAAGCAAAAACAAAAAATTCTATGTCAAAATGTTTTTCTTAGGCTTCAAAGTAAACCAAGAAAGCATTTTATTTGTGATTATCATGAAGTCAAAAATTCACACATTTGATTTTTGACAGAGTGTACCATAATTTATTCAAATAAAAAGTCTGTGTTGGTATCAAATCATAAAGATGAAAAATAAAATTGTATTTTTTGAAAATAATCAATTTAAATGAAATATTTTTGGCAGTTCTCCTGTTTTTAGAATTTGCTCTGCAAGCTCCTTATAATCACCACTTATCTGCATTTCAAAGAAGTCTGGACACTGGTGTTTTGTTCTTTATTTTATTAGTATGAGGACTAGAACCCAAAAGCCTAGAAAGATTGTTTCAGAAAACAGCAATATCTGAGCAAAGTGTGAAACTTTTTAAAAAGTTTACTACTAGGAAATTCAGATTTTTTTCTTCTGTTTACACCATTTTCTCACTTGTATGTTTTAAATAATTATCTTTTTTTAAAAAATAATTCCTCTTCAAAAAATGTATTTTTTAAACACTTGATATAATCTGGTAATGAATACTCCTAATTGTATTATAGAAGTAAGTATTTTTGTTCTGCTTTTTTGCCTTAGTAAAACTCATTTATTAAAAAGTAGAAATTATGCCAAGATAAAAAATTTAAAATAACACCTGTGGGCCTGCAATAATAGTCTGAGACAATGCTAGAAATGTTTATAATAATAATCATTTAACAAACTTTGTACTAGTAATAACAACGGAAACCCTCAGACATTGCTGAGAGAAGTATCAATAGATACAACTACTGGAAAATTTGCAATATCTCATAAAACTAAACATATTCATGACCATCCTATGATCCAGAAATTCCTCTCCTAGAGAAAGTCTCAAGCCCAACCCATACTATCCCCAAAATGTATGTATTCACATGTATTCATACATACTCACAAAAAAGACTTGTTTAAGGATGTTCATGCCCACAGTAGCCAATATCTAAAAGTATCCTTCATAGGACACTGGATAAAGTAATATCTTCATGTAATGGAATACTATACAGCAACAAGAATAAGCAAACTATTGCTATATGCACTAATATGGACAAATCACATAAATTTAATGCTCAAAAAGATAAAGCAGATACAAATAACTATTTTATATAAAGTTCAAAAGCAGAAAAACATATTCATTATTGTATAAGTCAAGATGGTGATTATCTTTGGGCAAAGTTGTACCTGGGAAAGGTATGGCAGTAGGAGGGTGAGTGTGTTTGTGATATTGACAATTCTTCTTATTTTATTTTTTCCAACAGAGTACTTATCTTTATGTGTCTGGCTTATTTCACTAAGGATAATGTCCTCAAAATCCCATCCATGCTGTGGCATACTACAGAATTTCCTTCTTTTTAAACACTGAATTGTATTCCCTTGTATTTATATACCACATTTTTTTATCCATTCACCTGTCAGTGGATATTTGATGTTTCCACAACTTAGCTATTGTAAATAGTGCTGAAATAAACATGGAATTACTAATATCAGGATCCTGACTTTAATTCATTTAGATAAATAGCCAGAATTGGGACTACCAAATCATATGATAGTTCTTTTTTAGTTTCTGTTCACATGAGTGTGTTATCTTTGTGAAACTTTAGATAGGAACTTATTATTTTTTACTTTTCTGTGTGTATATCTCACTAAGGTTTTTAAAAATCTTTAAAACCTATCAAAAGAACCTTGTACTAATAAATTATTTAATTAAAAATATTTGAGGTTTCCAGTTGAGTTCTTGTCTCCAAATTGCCCTAAAAGAATATTTTTAAACTAAAAAACTATATTCATAAATTAATATCAAATACTTTTTTGTCTTTATTTTTACTTTATGTTTCCTTTTTCCTCAATAAATAAATAAATTAAAAAATAGATTTAATGAATAGAGAATAGTTTTCATAATGACATTTATTTTACAAAATATTTCCAGTAGAGGGAGTATCATTTTTTTTTAACTATAAGAAATTTTATTTTAAGAGCCATCAATGAAAATAAATATATTTATATTTTTAAATATAATTAAAGTTCTTCATTGAGAGATGAATTACTCTCATCTAAGACCAGTCTAAGAGAAAAATTTTGTTCAATTTATCAAAGAAGAAGAAAAACCTGATGATAAAGAATATATATACCATACAAACTTCTATAATGGGTGTGTGTGGTTTTCAGAGGATTACATCTTTGGATTATTCACAGAAAGCATTCTTTCACAATTATTTAATATTAATGAAGATAAATTCTTATAATTATGATCATCAATTTGAAATACAATTTTTGTGAATTTCAATAAAACTAGACAAATATCAAAGGATGTACTGATGAAGATTATATATCTAAGAATATATTATAACAAATATCATGGTGAATTACCATTATACAAATTTGATTTTATTGACCAAAATGGTTTAGTTACTGATATTAAACTTCCTAAATCTGTCAACTAAGTTACTTCGATTTCCTTGAAAAAAAAATCCATATTATCATCTAAAATACTAAAAAATAATTATAGTAAAATGATCCATTTCACTTATAACATGAATTTTGTGCTCCTTCTCATGAAATTTTTGTAAATATAAAAGCTCTACTCTCTTTGTTTTAATCACCATATATAAAATTTGTGACAATTGCAGTTACAAAAGTTTACAGTCATATTAAAATATTTTTCACTGAAAATATCCTAGTTTACAGTGGTTCAACCCTGTACTTCGGAAAAAAAAATTTCAAAATTATAATAACCTTCACAATTAGTTGCTGTTCCTACAGGTATATCAAAATAACATAACTTCCTGTAAGGCAGTTTTTATGACATACACTATGTTTTCTAAGGTGTCCAAAGATGAAAAATTGATATTGCAACCCAGAAGACAATATTTACATATTTAAAATAGAAATTAATGTACAGCAACTTACTTACTCTAATTATTTGATTTCAATCTTTTTGAAAAGATTGTGGGCCATAAAATTGGAAATCCTAGGATAATTTTAATGGTAAAGTAAAATTTACATTGGTGATTCAAAAGTCTATATAAGCATAACCTTGCATACATATTGTTTGATTAAGAATAAGGGTTAAATTATCTGATCTTTTGACTAGTCTCTATTTTTAAAAAATTAATAAAAAAGGAAAGCCCACCAAATATGATTGGACATGATAAGAAATTTATATGTCATAGAACAATTTTGTTCTTCAATAGATTTCTTATAATATCACTTTTTCCAAAAAGATTATTCTTGACATAGAACACATCTAATGATTTATTTATGATTTTGTTCTAATGTGTTACCTGAACTAAGCTCTTTAGACATGGTACTTACAAGGCCTTAAGTGTTATTTATTTAACTTAACCTCTGGATATACCAACAATGATCAGAATTTCTCTAATCAGTGTATGCTTATGTTCCAGATATTTTCCTACTTAAAAATATTTATTTCTAATTACTAAATGTTTTGTAACTTTCAGAAAAAAAGAAACACTCAGAATTTTTATTTCACGTAGAAAAAAGAAACTCTAAAAGCAATTTGAGAAAGAAAAGCTAGGTTTGAGAAATAATTTTTCTAGGGTAATCTCAGCTGCAAATAATACGAGGCCAGTTACTAAAAGGCTCTAATTAGCGAAAACAGAACAATGTAACATGTTTTTAGAGGTCTTGATAGACTGCTGGACAGTTTTAGATAGAAAACAATGCAATTTATGGAATATTTCAACAAGTCATTTTCTAATTGCATTCCTGACTTCACCAATAACAAGTGGTTGCAACCTAGTGCACAAGCTTAAACAGTTCTTCAACGGGTAAATACAAGAGGACTCACCTGAGTAACAGTGTTGCTTCCCAAAAGTAAAATCCCGAAACTAATGTCCGAAAGTGTCTCACGTGGGCCATGATACGGAGAGATTTTCACGATCCTGAAATTAGTCTTATCCAAGGCATGGGGGATGAGAAAGCCAGGAACGAAAATGTGCAATCTAACTCCGTGTGGTGTTGCAGATGAACGCCTGGGAAGCTTCAGCACCGTAGACAGCTCCCCGCAGTCAGTAAAAGACCTTTTCTTTCAAACACTTAAAGTTCCCTTTCGACCCCTGCTCTCAGCATGGAGCAGAAGGAAAAATTCTCGGGGTACAAATGTGCACGTGACTTATACAGTGAACGCGGAATAAGGGGTGAGATGAAATGTCTGAAGTGCCTAGGTTCTGGGCAACAGTTCACTGAAGCTTTAGCGGCAAAGAAAGATTGCTTGTCCTTCCCTGACTCAGACACTGGAGAAAGAATAGCAGCAACAGCGGGGACAAGGATGCTTCTGCACCTGCTCCAAGCGCCACTCGCCCAATCCCACTCTCCACCTTTGAGTAAAAACCGTCACAGCTAGCGCGGCAAAGGGAAGCGGGGGCGGAGCCAGACGACAGTGTTCTGTCTGCCAATCACGACCGCACAGCGGGACAGAGTGGCAGGCCACTCACGACCGTAGGCGGTGCTTAATACTTTACCCTTTAAAAAAAGCGGTGAATAACTGGTGCAGAGCCTTAACTGTGACTGGAGGGAGTTGGGGGAAGAAAGCTTCAGGACTCAGCATTGGGAGAGCCAGCAGCTTTTGTGAATTAGGTAGCAGAATAGCGCTGGAGAGACACTTTACTGTTCCCTTTCAGGAAAAGGCACAATTTAGGAACAAAAGGTCCCTTCAGATGTGACCCCATGTCTTTGACCTTAAATGCAGGAGTCAACAGTAAACCCAGACCTTTAGAAAGGGCTAGGGAGGAGCAGAAAAAATGTACACGAACATCAATGAAACAGGAGAATCAGCTGCTTCTAGAATTCTCATAACTGGCTAGCTTCCTTCTGGCCAGGAAGCATTGTTGACTAGAGTAAGTTGAGTTTCTTTCGGTTCTAATAAGGGTTCTAAAAGGATGAAGGGAAATCTTAAGAGATGAGTACTAGAGACACAATGGTACCCACCATTTTTTTTTCTTACACGTTTTCTGTATCTTAACAGTAAGTTCAAGTGAAGAGGACAAATACATCTTCTATCATTCATCTCTCTCCCCTCTCTCGCCCTCCCTCTCTCCCAGCAACCATGTACACTGGAATTTGGATTTAAGACTAGAAATGAAAAGTGTGTGTATGTTGTATGCATGCTTATTCATGTATCTCCAAATGAAATTTAAAAAGATTAAAACCTATGCTATTAGATCTTTATAGTAGCTTTTATTTACTATCAACCAAGATTAAAATTTTCACTACTTGAATTTTAGCTTCTCCCTAAAACTCCCTTACCTATTTATTCTGAAAGCCTACTTTAATCACTTAACTTTCTCAATGACTAAACTATATGCCAAAAATGTCTTCTTAGTCTTTCACACAAACATTTTCTTGTTAATTAAATTCCAGCACCAATTGACATATTGACCACCTTGTAATTCTTTATTTAACTGGAAAAGTGTAAGTTATTACCTTTTCACCCTCTTAAATGAGGGCACTGAAAAAAAATCTCTTTTTATTCCTTAGTAGACAAGGTTATTTGTCTACTAATAACAAATAGTTATTTGTTATTAGTAGACAAATAACAAATTTGTTATTTTTTATAACAAAGAAAGAAGTAAGAAGAAAGAATTTTTAGATTTATTTTTATGTATTATTACTATATGTCTCTTTTTGCACTTAATTTTCTTATTTAAATTACAAACTTCCAGAAGTCTCATAAGAATTATCACTGGTTCTACCCATGAATATTTGCACCCAGGGAAGATTCATACAGTTTTAGTCAACTCAGTTTTTCAATGAACCTTTTGAAAACTCATTAAGAACAAATACTTTTTAGTTGGTCATTCTCTGAATGGCAAGAATTCTTTTAAAAACACAATGTAGTCAATGAAACAAAACTTATTATATTTCAAGAAGGCTTGGATTCCTTGCCTTGCTTCACTACTACCTAACTGGTAGTATTTTTGGAAAAGTAATCTACTTTTAAGAATATCTTTATGTAACATATTTTTAAAAATATATTTATTAAGGCAATTGAGTTAAATTACTTCTGAGATTCATTCTCTCATGAAAAGGAAACAACCAATGGATGTTTATTTAAGTGAACAAATTAATGCATAATATTTAAAAGTCTGAATTTACATTAATCTGTATAGTTAGGTTACATGACAGGATAAGTTTAGCTATTTCATCTCATTAATAACATGAAAGCATATAAATATTATGCTTAATCAAATTAATAGATATACTCAACCAGTTTTGGGGTATAAATGTCATGTAAGAGAATGGTAATATGAAATCCCCATATTACTGGTTTTTCATAGCACCATTATTATTTCCTTCAAATTATATATGAAAAGTTATGATCCTCATCATTTATTTGTTTGACTTTTCCAAGGCAGTGAGGATAATGGCCATTATTTAGCAAGAACCTAACATATAGTAGATACTCAATAGTCATTGAATGCATTAATAATCATATTAGAAATGCAATATATATTTTTTGAATTAGATTTGCGAATTTGTTACAAAGCATTGGGTACCAGGTTAATTTTGATTAAATAAATCAGAAATTAATCAAAGAGTGGGTGGTAGTGCTTTGTTTCTTAATTTAACATTTAATGATTAATTTTCCAGGGCTTCCTGTCTAGGAATTCTTATGTTGTTTGCTTTTAATTTCTATAAGATCAAAATGAGTCTCATGCATCTATATATTTGTGACAATTATTCTTATAAATTTTATCCTTTTAAGAATAATAGTCCTGATTGGCTGAGTAGGTGAATGAAAGTGTTTTTGAGAAAAAGGCCATTCTATGGCTGATGACTAACTGACCAGCCCATTTATATAAAATTAAGCTGGATTCTGACTTGGTCAAATCTCTTCTCTTCTCCTCATTGCCTTTATTATTTCTTGAACTAATGGATTATATTTTATATTATATAAGATATGAGATTTCAGAACTGAATGAGATATTAATCTTCATCAGACTTTATACTTTCCTTTCACAAAAGAGGTAATTGTAACCTGAAGTGGTTAGGTGATGGTTACAAGCCCTCATATTCAACAAGTTGAAAATATCAAACCCACTGGTTGGCTCAGTGGGTTAAGCCTCTGCCTTCAGCTCAGGTCATGGTCCCAGAGTCCTGGGATGGAGCCCTGCATCAGGTTCTCTGCTCAGTGGGGAGTCTGCTTCCCACCCCCCTCTGCCTACTTGAGATCTGTGTCTGTCAACTAAGTAAATAAATAAATAAATCTTAAAAAAAAAAAGAAAATATCAAACTTGAATTTGGTGTCACTAGCTCAATGTCTAGCATTTTGTGTTCTCCCCCTACACTGTCTTTAATATTTCTACTAGTGTCTCAAACTATATGCATATTGACTAACCTACAGATAAGTAAATCAATTTCAGTCCAGTGATAAAGCTTTCCTTATATGCTCAGTTATTAATACCTATGATCTAAAACATATTGTTTTATACATAAAATAATATGATTTGCAATTTAGTAAAAGACTTATTTATTGAAGTCAATGTAGTATGTGGTTAAAAATAGTTTATTGAGGGGCACCTGGGTGGCTTAGTGGGCTAGGCCTTTGCCTTCGGTCATGATCTTGGGGTCCTGGGATCGAGCCCCTCATCAGGCTCCCTTCTCAGTGGGGAGCCTGCTTCCCCCTCTCTCTCTGCCTGCCTCTCTTCCTACTTGTGATCTCTCTCTCTCTCTGTCAAATAAATAAATAAAATCTTTTTAAAAAAGTTACAAAAAGTAATGTCATTTTTAGAATAATTAGAATATTCATATTTTTGAATTAATACTCTGGGAAAGTTGAAAGTCTTAATTTGTTTTGGTCTTTTTTTACCTTTATTTAGAGAAAATTGACAGTAAAATAATACTATATTTAAAGGATAAAACATAATGATTTGATATACGTGTATACACTCTGAAAAGATTTTCCTACCTGAATTAAATAGCACATATTTACCTTTCTAATTTTCCCTTTTTGTTCAAATTAATCAACATATGATGTACTATTTGTTTCAGAAGTACAAGTCGGTGATTCATCAGTCTTATATAATACTCAGTGCTCATTACAACATATACCCTCACCAATGTCCATCACACAGTTACCCCACCCCTCCCAGCAACCCCCCCCCCCCCAGTTTGTTTCCTATGATTAAGAGTCTCCCTCTCTGGTTTCGTCTTATTTCATTTTTTTCCTCTCTTCCCCTATGATCTCTGCCTTGCTTCCTAAATTCCACATATCAGTGAGATCATATGATAACTATCTCTGATTGAAGAAAGTCCTAATTTAGGTGTCAATCAGAAAGTTGCTTATTCAATACAAATCAGATAGAGGAGAATTAATCTTATTGCAGATGTAGATAATGTCACCAAGTATGTGAACATAGTGAATTTATCTTTTGTATAAGGATCTGCCTAATATGAAACAAACTACAATAATCATGACATGTTAGCTGATCAGGTGCCTCTTTTAGGAATAGTGGTGGAAATATCTAATAATTTATCTCCTTTTTCTTGTCCAGGATTCAGAATTTCTCACATGAATCTCAGCAACAGCCTCCTAATTGTTTCTCCTGCTTGCTCTGTTATTCCCATTCATTAATCCTCCCTTGTGAATATTAAGGGGTTTTTGTTTGTTTCATTTGTTTGTTGTTTTAGTAAGTCAGAAAATGCCACTTGTATTCCTAAAACTGTTTAATGCTTTTCCATTGCAGTAGATTAAAATCTATAGTTCTCTTTACAGATGACAAGGCTCTGAATGATTTTCTATTGGAAAATCAGAAAGCTCTTCAACTTCATTTTTTCCTAGTCTCCCATTTCCCCGACTATGCACCAATAACATAAGCTGTTTCTTATCTCTTGATTTCTCTACTTCACTTTTCCTTTTGGATTTCTTATGTCTAATCTTTTTCTAGCCATTAATTCATAATATAAATCTTTCTTTCAAAAAATTTTCCTTTTACCTTCAAATCAGGATTCATGTCTTTCATAGATTAAATTATAATTTAATGTTTGCATTTGTTTGAATACTCTCGAAAAGCAGAGGCAATATGCAT